GGTGTAACTGGACGCTTTGTACAATTTCAAAAATTTGAAGAGGTTGATCTGTAGAGTAGGAGGTTGACAGGTGGTTAAAAATTGGGTTAAACTGCATTTATCATGCGATGGGTTTGTTCCGAAAAAAGTTTCTGGTACCTACGTATTTTTGTCAGAAAAACACGAATTTGATAATGAAAATGTGAACAAACCATTATTTATTAGGATATTTATTAGGATATTTGGCTAAAAAGTTACAAATTTCACCTTCTTTTCCTACTGTCTTCTGGATGGCATTCAAAACAATTTGCCCTTCTTTTTTCATCATTGGACAATTTATATACAGAGTGACCCATTTGAAAGCGGGCCACCCCTGTATCTCACGTAATCGTTGGGTAAGGATCATGAAATTTGCTGGAGAGAGAGATATACCAAAAATGCACTCTATAACCAAGTGAGGTCATCTTCAGTGATATACACTGCTCGCCAACAGCCATGGAACCACCCCAATTTCCTGAAAATGATATTAGGAGTCAAAATAGGTTGAAAATCACTTCGGATTCAGGACGCACAATTCACTAACTATTCATATTTTTCCTTGAACATTTTCAGTTCTGAAACATTACATTTTGTCGCACTTTTCATGGAAGCGCACCCCCGTATCAACTACAAATATGATTTTCTTGAGATTTATCCATATTTAGTGAAAAGGAGGAAGAATATCATCTGAAATAATGGCGTTTGTGATGTCATTCCTAAGCAATCTATTGACATTTGACATCTCGTATTTGGATTGAATATTGATTGAATGGCCTTTGGTATGCTTGCTCACTAAATATGAAAATCTTGCCATAAAAATAGTATTTTCTGTTGAATTTTCTATTTAAAAATGTGTCATCGAAGTACATCATGAGTATATAAAGTGCCGAATGACAAAATAAGAAGGGCATAAGTTGCTTCAAATGCCCATAAAAAAAGGGGAGGAAGAAGGCGAGATTTCGAACTTTTAATGGGGAAGACCACTGAGAGAAGAAATCCGTGCAAACCTCTTTCAATCGACGAATCATAATTTACGTTTGATGTTCAATCAATATTATGAGTTAAAGTTGAAGGAAGCATATCTCATTCGATATTTCAAACAGCCAAATATGATGGTGGAGTCGTGACGTATTAGTCCCGAACTGTAGCTATCTCTCTCTGATACCTCGTCATTCTGCAGTGTTGCAGTGTGATTGGTCAGTTCAAGGACAATAGGCGTGTTGGGAATAAGAAGTCGCACAAGTCACACCAATGAATTGACATAATTTCAAATGGTGCAGGAATTGTGTGTTTCGAGATGGACATATTCTAATTTATTATTTTCATCGTCTTAGCATGAATGACAAAATTCGAAATTGATTCGCTGGTAGTTTTTCAATATGGAGTTCACAATAATGTCATTTTAAGAAATCAGTGGTCTTCCCCATTGAACAATCTCGATAAATCGTGGTTTGTTCACATTTTCATTATCAAAATCGTGTTTTTCAGACGAAAATACGTATATGAGTACCAAAAAATATTTTCAAAAAAAAAACCCATCGCATGATAAATGCTGTTTACAAAAAATTGTCAAGTGAATAATTTTTTTTTTTGAAATATCCCATCATAGGATCACACACTGTAGAATTACTATTATTGGCCAATAGATTCCTGAAATCGATGTTGTGTTCTAGAAATTCACATTCAAATAAAATTTCGAAATTTGGAAATAGTAGGAATTTTGGTAATACAAGTCGAAACATTCGATATTAAAGTTGAGATTTCGTTTTGAACGGCGAATTTTTCACTCTGAAGTCGAAATTTTAGAAAGAAAATTGAAATTCCTAGCTAAAAATCAGAATCTTCATAAGATCCGGAACTCTTGTAGATCGGCAAGCAAAAAATATTAAAACCGAGATGAAAACCATAAGAATTGGTGTCGAATTTGATCTAAAAGCATTGATATCAACTCACCGGCATTCTTTCCTCACTTTGGGTACACTTTGCAATGTTCAAAAATTCAAATTCAAATAATCTAACAGTCAATTTTAACCACACACACTCACACTTGCCTAGTAAACGATATACTGATAATAGATTCGACTGTTCTCACAGAACAGTGTTCTGTAATCGAATGATTCACAATTTTTTTCTCGATCTCGATATACGATAAACAGTCCCCACTTTTTTCATGAAACATTCCATCAATCGAACGTAAATAACAGAGAGTATCAAAAGTAAAGTTTGAAGATTTTCAGGGCGATACAAATAAACATGGTGACCAAGTACCATTATAAAATATTTCTAGTATTAGTAAACCTTGAAAGGAGGATAATGTTTCTTTCAATGAACATGAAATATGCCCTTCAGAAGGGTATTGAGGATTTATTTTGTCAACCTGTTTCTTGGATATTGAAAACGTCATTTATATTTTTATACAATGTGATGTATGGGGATGTATTGTTTTTCAATTATTAAGTATTCAATTGAAATGAAGAATGAACCTAATAATTTTCGTTAGACTTGTTCCTACAACTACACTATCACATTCGAAATACAGGGAGTCCCAATTGTTCAATGAGAAATAAATTTGTTTCTATCCAACGGAAGTCATCAGATAACACTATTGTACAGTCGTCTTCAGAGATCATGTCGCGGTTGGTCGGTCAGCGCTTTTATTGCAGGAGTTATTGAGAATGTTATCATCGTCCATGTGCGACATGTTTTATGAAGATGACTGTACATATAAAATATCATACTCCAAAAGCCGGCTGCAAATTTCGACCGTCATCTGATGACGAAATGATATACAGTGTGTGTCCCAGCTAGAACTTATTGTCACTCCCCTAATCTCCGATGTAGAAAAACAATTGAAAATCGCTCAGACAGATCGATTTCAATCTGGCGAGGGACATATTTTTCTCCAATTATCATATTCCAAAGTTGAAACCTTGAAGCGTAACGGGCATCAACTTTCGATTTTCAAATGAATACCCCTGCATTTCATTGCATTATTCTTAGATTATCCCTGAAGAGCTGCTTTCATCAATATCACACTTGGTGTCTAGCGGGAATGATTACAGAGATATAGAGGGTGTTCAAAATCGAGATTTTTCAACTTTAGGATTTTTTTGTGTCGAAACTATTCATTATCGGTCAAAACAGCTTTCATGTCCCTATCTTAATTTTTTATTTACTATCTACTGACATATAATTGGTACAAATACAGGGTGGTTCAAGATTCAGAATTCTGATCACCCTGTATCTGTTCCAATTAAATCTCAGTAGATAGTGAATCAGACGTTAAGATAGGGACATGAAAGCCGTTCTGACTGATAATGAATAGTTTCGACACAAATAAATCCTATAGTTGAAAAAATCTCGATTTTGAACACCCTATATCTATGTAATCGATAAGATTTCCACAAAATTTATTAAACACACGACATGTTTCGCTAACACAGTAGCTTCGTCAGGTGATATACTGGTACAATGAACTAAACTAACGTTGGCTTGCTTAACTTTTACATATCTTACCTTCCCAAACTGAAGGATTAGTTAGTTCATTGTACCAGTATATCACCTGACGAAGCTACTGTGTTAGCGAAACATGTCGTGTGTTTAATAAATTTTGTGGAAATCTTATCGTTTGTGAAGTTTTTACATTTATCATGGATTTCCATCAAGTAACGGCCGAGTCAATTCAAAATCTATGTAATCATTCCCGCTAGACACCAAGTGTAATACATTGATGAAAGCAGCTCTTCAGGAATAATCTAAAAATGCAATGAAATACAGGGTAATCCATTTGAAAATCGAAAGTTGATGCCCGTTACGCTTCAAGGTTTCAACTTTGGAATATGATGATTGCAGAAAAATGTGTTCCCCGCCAAATAGAAATCGACTTATTCAGGCAATTTTCAATTTTTTCAACGACATCGGATATTTAGTGGGTGACAAGTTTTAGCTGAGACACACTGTATGTGTCGAAGGCATATAAAACCAATGTAGTTTATCGAACGGCACCTGTGCCAATCACTATCCTGAGCAAAATAATTGAAAAATTGCACTCCGTGTAGATTTCAGAATCGTCAGAAGATAATAACACTGACTGATTTTCTTACACACATTGTCTATTTGTGCTTCCAAGAGAGGATAATGACAAATAGAGTTCCGAGAAATTTCGCTGTTTCAGATTTTTCAAGTATAGAATTATTCAGTGAAATTGAAAAATTTTATGGTTTTCTTTGATTTGTTTGATATTCAATGCACACTGTTTTCCCGACATTCATCATCAGTTTATTACTCTCAAATTGAATTAGTGTTTTGGAGACCTTTTCAAAAAGTGCAGTTGCAGATGAGTTGCAGATTTGTCGATATTATTTTGCAGGTATCGTCTGCGAACATGAGCACCTTAGCTTCAGGTAAATGATTAATGGACCAAGAACACTCCCTTGAGAAGTTCCAAGATCAATGTCAAACTCATTTGATAAAACACCATCAATTTTGAATAATCCTTTGGTGTTCAAGGAAAGAGTGGAACCAATCGTTAAGACAACCACGAATTCCAAGATTTTCTAATTTTTCTGACACAAACGTCTTATCGACTGAGTCAAATGCTTTTGTTGAGTCGAATAGTAGGGACACCACATATTATTCACCGCGAACCATTTTTTCATAGATATGCTGGGCGAACTCTGCTTCGCTGGTTTCTGTGGAGAATCCACTTCTGCAACCATGTTGATTATTTGTGATTATATTGAATGAACACAGGTATGCTTCAATCCTTTTTGCAACAACTTTTACTATTGATTTTGAAAAAATGCTCAATAAAGAAACCGGTCGAGTTATTTGTAGTTGTTGGTATAGCTATTTTTAGTTCATGATGATGATGAATAAATGATGAACACATTTCATACATCATATAAGGTATATTATAATGATGTTTCACTGTGGATATACAAATTACTATATCATTGCATACATATACCTAATAGGTATATTCACTTTCGGAGTTTCATCAAATCCTGGCATTTCCTATCGTCTCCAGGAACAGTATTGACAATTTCACATAAAATTCGTTTCTGACATCTTTCGGTGCATTTTGGGAAGGCTGCGTCACTGTTTCTATGATAAAATCTGGAATATCAAATTGCATGCATTGAACATCAAATAAATTGATTAGTATACAGGGTGTCCCTAGACCAGTGGGACAGTGGAATATCTCCTGAACCAATAGAAATTTTCGAAATATTATAATTCCACATCATATCGCATTATGAGTGCTAACTTCAGGAATGACTATATTTTCTACGAGGGGCGCAAGAAAGGCTCACAAAATCGAACATCAATTTTTTCAAATGGAACACCCTGTATTTTATTGCATCTTCATATTCTCCTTGAAGAGCTGAATTCAACGACCTAGCACACTTGGGGTCTAGCGGGAATGATTTCCGAGATATAGGGTGTGGAAAATCGAAATTTTTCATTTTTGGGAATTTTTTGTGTCAAAACTATTCATTATTGGCCGAAACGGCTCACATGTCTATATCTTAACTTTTGATTTACTATTTACTCGAATTTAATTGAAACAAATACAGGGTGGTGTGGAATTCCGACTGAAACTGAGAATTCTACACCACCCTGTATTTGTTTAAATTAAATACGAGTAAATAGTAAATCAAAAGTTGAGATATGGACATGTAAGCCGTTTTGACCTATAATGAATAGTTTTGACACAAAAAATTCCCAAAAATGAAAAATTTCGATTTTCCACACCCTATATCTCGGAAATCATTCCCGCTAGATCCCAAGTGTGCTAGGTCGTTGAATTCAGCTCTTCAAGGAGAATATGAAAATGCAATAAAATACAGGGTGTTCCATTTGAAAAAATTGATGTTCGATTTTGTGAGCCTTTCTTGCGCCCCTCGTAGAAAATATAGTCATTCCTGAAGTTAGCACTCATAATGCGATATGACATGGAATTATAATATTTCGAAAATTCCTATTGGTTCAGAAGATATTTAATTGTCCCACTGGTCTAGGGACACCCTGTATATATCTATTTTTTTGACGTAGGTATTGAATAAAGGCAAATCTACATATTTTGTCATTGAATATTAGTTACATATATAGGGTGTCCCAAAATTGCTGAAACACAGAGCTATCACGTATTATACATGTCAAAATAAGTTGACCCAATTTATTTATAAAAAAAAATGTACCGTTTGTCCGTGATACGAGTTCGATTTTCACATAGAAAACCACGTTTGTACGCTTTCCAAAAATGAGTGTAAGAAATTCTTAGGGATGGTGATACGGTTCTAAAATTTTCTAAGCGAGATAACTGATTAATTTTCTTCATTTCGTTACTTTTCTGAAAGTTTCGTATTTCGCAAAGTTTTGAAGGAGAAAAATGTTTTCTCCAATAATACTAACAGATATTCCTAGTAAAAGTTTGATATCATCATTAATAAACCATTTTGTTGACATGGGGAAACAAAAATAAAATGTTTTTTTCTTTAAATAATATCCAATATCACACTCACCTTCATCAATACAAATGTCAATTCCTTTATTGTTTCCACAGCCAACTAATTTTGTATTTCAATTTTATCAATCTTTTACTAGGAATATTTGTTGAATACAAGATTCCCACAAGAGTAACATAATCAGGATAATTAATCAGTCATCTCTATTATATAAACTGTATTACACGTGATAGCTCCGTGTCCCCACAATTCTGGGACACCCTGTATATTTTATATTGTACCTCCTTCACACAGGATAATGACTATGGGAGATGTTATCCAAGTAGATATCTGCCTATGTGATCAAACTTCGAGAGGTGATTTTTTGAGTGATTCTTAAATGAAAAGTACGAAGGCGTTGAAGGGCAACCGCAATTATTTTTCATAATTCTGATCAAGTATCTCGAAATTATTCAATTCCGACTTATTGTGTCGGAAATCCAACTTAGTGTCTCGGAATTCCGACTTATTATCTCGGCCCTTCAACTCCTTTGTGAATAATTTCGGAATGATATGTCTACATTAAATAATTTCGAGATAATATGTCTGAATTAAATAATTCCGAGATACTTGAGTCGAAATTCCGATATAATGAGTCGAAATTGAATAATTCCGTAATAATAAGTCGGAATTGCGAGATACTATGGCAGAATTATAACATAATGGGTCGGATTCGAATAATTCCGAGATAATATGTCGGAATTCCGATATATAAAGTTAGAATTCCGACATAATAGGTCGAAATTGAATGATTCCGAGATAATAAGTCGAAATTCCGAGATACTAAGGCGGAATTACATCATAATAAGTCGGATTTGAATAATTCCGAGACAATAAGTTGGAATTCCGAGAATTTGAGTCGGAATTCCGAGATACACAGTTAGAATTCCGACATAGGTCGGAATTAAATGATCTCGAGATGATAAGTCGGAATTCCAAGATACTTAGACGAAAATACATCATATTAAGTCGGATTTGTATAATTCCATGATAATAACTCAGAATTCCGAGATAATAAGTCGGAATTCCGAGATAATAAGTTGAAATTCCGTCATAATGAGTCGGAATGAAATAATTCCGAGATACTAAGTCAGAATTATGAAAAATAATTGCGGTGGCCTTCCAACGCCTTCGTACCTCTACAACTATACGAACAACACTACCAACTTAATAGAGTTGAATACAAGATATTATTACCATATTCAGGAAAAACTATTTTTTCTTCAAATCGGATCGAAATAATTCCACTGGTGGCATCTATAAATCTTTATGAGATATCTAAATATGTAATTTGATGGAAAAATACGAACAATAAATGCTCGGTCAGCAAAGATTTTCGAAAAACTGCAATCATAAAATACGCCTCTGAAGGGGTATATCAGAATTATTTTACTGGTGGTATCTACATATTCATATAGAGTATTCGAATATGCAATTTGAAGAAAAAATTTGAACCAGAAATGCTTGGTCAGCATCACTAATAATTTTGGTCAGCAAATTATATTTCCCCAGATCGTATAGGAAGAGGACAAATCACATGAGAAGAAAAAGTCTATTTATGAAGTTCTACCAACTCTAACCTCACGTTCCACAATAAATAATGTTAACCTCATCGTATAGGTATACTTCACCTACTTATAATATGAGTCAATAAGTGTGTGGTTTGTTGCCATCTTTTCCACCAAGTTGTCCATTTCACTGGGATCCAAACTTTTCAAATCAAAAGCTTTCTTCATGGTGTAGAGGGAATACCATTCCACAGTTGTTTTGTTTTCGTTTGCCTTTGTAAGGTTGAATGTCCAACTTTCTGTATCCAGAACATTCTGAAAAAGAATCAGTTATTCAAAAACAAACGCATGAAGTCATCTTCACAACATTAAATAAATCGTTTATGATCGATTTGTATTGTATCAATACTCCTTTACAATAATAATTATTATTGTAACCGGGACCTTCCCATACCGCGCTAGCTCTTGATGACGTGATATACCGACAAATACCACATGTTTCATATTTTTCAAGAATCAATGAGAAAATAATATAGCAAGAAATAACTTTCTACATAGGGGTATACTGACATATACAGGTTGTCCGGAAATTATGCGCAGAGAATCAAGGGCATGATTCTGCATGAGAAAACAAGAAATTTATTTCATATATACGTGGGTCCGGAAATGCATAGTATTCACTTGAAAAAAAAAAATCGGATTTTCATGAATATCTCAAATATATCCTTCCACCGATTTTCTTCCAATATAGCAATGATATTTTTCGTCATAAGGAGCTGATTTAGCCATTATTGAATTGAAATCAAGTGGCGTCCCGGGGGGCACCCTACCGAATATAGTTGTCCATAAAATGTGCGCCACTGATTTTTTTGAATTCTTTATCTTCATATCCTATTCACCAACTAAAAATACAACATTTTGGTTTCCTGAATTGTTTTGATATTCTGCTTCGTTTCCGTGGAAAAAAATAAATACCAATTTATTGTATAAATTTGGGCGAAAAAATCCTTCTTAAACGGGTGAATATGAATGTATGATCAATGACCATAGACATAGAATAAGAATGAAGAATTTTTGACATGTGTGATGTAATCAAACAAAAAGAGGGAATATTTGCCATGAAATGAAAGGACGTCACTTTGAGACTTTGTTGTAAAGATTATGTACTAATTAGTTGTTTAGGAAGTTATTAGTGGAACAGAGTGATGATCTCTCACTGAATAAACTTGTTAATTTTTTTTATTGTTCTTCTCGGTCTTTTTATCAAGATAGAACAGGATGACCTTTTTCAAATATATCCTTATGCTCTTCAATTTTATACCTTCAAAATTAAAAATAAAATTATTAGGAATAAGTTATGATTCTATTTTGGTCAGGTTAGGTCAAGGGCATTAAAGTGTATTTGGCTTCGAGGGATCCAAGTATAATTTAGACCAAAGTCGCAAGGGAATACTAGTGATCTGTGTGCCAGATTTGAAATAAATCAGTTCCATAGGAAGGAAGTACTGAAAGAATAGTCAATTTGAAAATATAAACTTTGAAGGCTACTTCATTAGTGAGTTTTCGGCAAAATGTTATACGAACTTTTTGTAATATTCAAATACATAGAATCACCCCCTTGAATTTTTGCACATGATTTCCAGACAAAATGAGGTATTTGTTTCATTGGTAACTAATAGGTTGTGACATACAGTTCATTTACCGAAACTTTACATACAGGGTGACCAGAAATCGTGCGCAAAAAAATTTTGAGTTGATTCAACATGAGAGAACATAATTTTTTTCATTTGTACCTGGGTCCGAGAATACATAGCTATAAATAGACAGAGTGTAGAGCTGTGACAAACATGTTTCATAAAATTATTCGAAGAGAATGAATCTTCATTCTTATTCTATATGTCTATGGATGTGGATCACACATTTATTTCCACACCAGTCTTTGACGGAATTTTTTGCACAAAATTTATACAATGAATTGGTATTTATTTTTTTACGAAAACGAAGTGAAACATCAAAACACTTCAAAATGTTGAATTTTTAGTGGGTCAATAGGATATTAAGATAAAAAATTCGAAAAAATCAGTGACGCACATTTTATTGACAATAATATACGGTAGGGTGTCCCCCAGGACGCCACTGGATTTCGTAATTCCAATTCAATTATGGCTAAATCAGCCCCTCATGACAAAAAATATCACTGCCAAATTTCAAGTGAATCGTTGGAAGGATATTTGAGATATTCATAAAAAAACGATTTTTTTTAAGTTTATAACACAATGTATGTTGAAAACTATGCATTTCCGGACCCACGTACATATGAAATAAATTTCTTATTTTATAATGAAGAATCACCCCTTGATTTTTTGCGCATAATTTCCGGACACCCTGTATACACAACAGTGGAGTAACTTCATATTTTGGGCCCCCCGCCAAAATCATTTAGGGCTCCCTCGAGACAAACCTTTCCAGTCAGAAGTCCCTTCTTTCCATGAACTATTAGTTATATTGAATAACCAAAAAGCTTCACGATACGCTTTATATTCTTTGGGTGAATAACACAACCATTTTCTTGGAATAATTTGCACAGCATGACTTTTCTGTGAATAATAAAAATTAGAGGAACTCCTCTTTTGGAAAATTTATATCTGGTTGAGACGGGCCATTATGAACAATGAACATTTTTATCGTATTGCTCAATTCTCGGCTACCGAAATTGCCTTCATCACAAGGAAATGATTCTTTAAATAATACATCCAGTGATGAATCATCTGACACATTTAAGTCAGTTATGGGCTCCTCGTGGATTTCAGATATAATACTTTTTATATTCACACCATCAGTACCTACAGTTTCGAGTCATTTGCTAAGTAAAAATTTGATGTTTTTGCTAAATACATTTATTTCTCTTCTCCAAAATTTTTTCAATAATTACAAATTGTCACTGACGAGCTAGTGCATTTTTCTTTTAGGCTCTCTAATAGGGAAATTCTTTAAACGCAATTACATTTTGGGGCAAATCATCTGATTTGTCCTTACTACACGTGTATTGAAATAATATACATATTTATATTTTATAAAAACGAGGAGAGAAAATCCTTAAAAATCTGGAATAATAGTTTTTCTTCCATAATATTTGCAGAGTCAACATCCATTCCTGTTTCAATCATCATACTGCTACTACTTGATGAACATTCATCATAATATTCAACTGTATTATCCGAAACAGTAGTAGTATTCGTAAAAAACGTGGTAATCTTGGAAATTTCACACTTCTCATCTTCAAATTCTTGTTTCCTCCTTCTTTTCGGAGCACCACTAGTTTTAATCAATTTCTCCATTTGAAATAATTATCTTGTATATCGTTGATTTCACACATCACACTGTACCTACACTGAAAAAAACATGCCTGCACTATTCGCAGAAATGGAAAATTTATTTCTGTGGCATATTCATAATTAGAAACTATTCATGTATCAACCAATTTGGCTGAGTCCGTGCTCTGATTGGTGGACCCAGGGGCCCAGGGCCCCCTCCGAGGAACGGCCCCCCCGCAACCGCGGGCTTTCGCGGTATAGTAGTTACGCCACTGATACACAATACGAATATCTAAGTCATATATCTTACATGATTGCTATCGATTGGTCACGCTAGATTTCGTCACTAATTTTCTGAGAAATCTCGAAATCGAATAGCGGATATACTCACGAAATTCTTTGAATCGACTGTGTACAATTTATAATTCGGGTTTGCTTTATCTGCGACCACTGATGCTCCATTCCATGCCACGTTCGTCGGTTTCAAATCACTTCCATAGTAAATGTAGAATTGGTCCAAATGAGTATGGCCGTAGAATTGACCAGTTATTGTATTTGCAAATCTGAAAAATGATTACGAACAATTCCAATTGAAATACAGAGAAGCAAAAATAGACATGCAATAGTCCCTCATGGTTTGACGGAATTAGAATTGAACTTATAAAAGATCATCACTTATTCATTATTAATCCGCTAATGCACGTCATAAACCTAATCTTTCTGAAGTCTGAATTTAATTGTCCCTTTTTACAGAAAAGACGGTAAACAGAGATTTATTACGATCCTAGCTCCAAAAATTTACAATTCTATACCAATTCACATGAGAAATATTTTTAAATATGAATCATTTGCCAGAAAATGTAAGCCAATCATCTACAGTAACTATAAAACATTTGTAAAACTAATGTAGGTAATTATCTGCATTTCGTGCATAAGATTTTTTTATTTTTGTATTAATTCTCATTCCCTTAATATTTCTTCATTTGAGTACATGTAGGTTGTAGGATAATGATGATGATAATTCATTTCACCACTCTATATGTTAAGAAACTAACATAACCTCTTAGATTTCTGCACATTCAGATTGATTGTAATCTAGGTGCAATAACTTATTCAAGTAGCTCGAATTGTAAAATGTTATTCAATCATTTTATAAGCCTATTGTAATTCTTTCTGATCTCTATCTATCTTTGATGCTAAAAGCTGACGCAGAAATCGGATCGAACCGGTATATAGGAGAAATGAGCTGGTTGTCGGCCAGTTAAGGACAGTTTTAACGATCAGTAAATAGTCTTTAATAAAGTGATGAGTAGCTGGTGAGCACTCCTGATTTCAGTAGTGGATGCATAGTTTTTCTCTGTCTGTCTGACAGACATTTCGATGTTGAGAAGAACCCAAAAATGTGTGAAGAAAAAAGTTAAATGTGCAGTTTTCACCGGTTGTCGGCCATATTTCGTCTGTTACCGGCCGGTATTGTACCCATTATTCGCCTTAATATCAGGTCCTGGCCACTCATAAACGTCATTATAATGGAGGCATGACATCAAGATTAAAAAAAAGCATTTGACATAAACTTTATAAAAACACGAAATAGCTATAAGTAATATACAGGGTCGTTGATATCTATGGAAATAGGTGAATATCTTGGTAACCTGATTTTAGATTTTTGAGAATTTATGTACAGTGTGATTTCAAAACGTGGCGGATTTGAGAATGTTATAGCCAGTGTTGCCACTTAGGAGCATCTCAGTGCAGGCATGTTCTAATTACTTCTGTAGGATTAGAACGGCAATGTTCGGAAACTGCTCACCAGAAAATGATAATATAGGGTACTGTTGGGGAGAGAATTGAACGCTCTTCAAAATAATGTGCATCTTGAATCCTTTTTTCACATGAGGTGGTTGAGGGGCTTGAACCAATAAAAGGACCAATAATATGCATTCAAAGTGTTCCTCTCGAAAATGAAATTGACCTGTCTATTTCTCACATTATTTACTGGAAGGAAGATATTGCGGGTGAGAAATTTGCAAAATGTCACCCTATACGGGTATCCCGAAATTATATAGGAATATTTCAACTACTCATTCTACGAACAAAAATAGTGAAGGAACTTCATTAAAACAATGGTCCAGAAATAGTCCCCTGTGGGTAAGAGACACCTGGAGGAGAGCCCGAGATGATGGTTTCATGAAAATATTTCTCTCTGTGATGAAGAAACCAAATTTTGTACATGCTCCTAACTTTTCATGCCTAATTGGAAAACGTTATAGTTCAGTCATTGGGGATCCAAAATAAGGCTTACCTGGAAAAAAGTCCGGAAGTTTTGAAACTTTGTAGGATTATAGTTTTGGGTGTCCAGAACTAAAATTCACAAAATGCACATTCCGGGACATGCCGCCGGCGCCGCCATCTTGCCAAGATGGCGCTCAAAAACGGTTTTTTGAAAATATTTCCAAAACGGTGCGTTTTTAGGAAAAATATGAGGACATACAAATTCGGGATGAAGAAATTTTCTACAAGAAATGTCCCGAGCAAATTTCTGCTAAAGAGAGCCGTTTAGGCTCAAGAGCTGATTGAATGACAACATATTCTGTTAATTTCTATAAACTGCCCCTAACTATCTCCATATATGCGTATAAATTCATATTTTATAATAAAACGGGCTATTCAATTTGTTCCTCGTTATATTGGAAGATTTTTATATCAATTATGCGACAAAAATTTTGCATTTGAGACTTGCCATTATTTGGGCGATATAAAAATTGCATTATCGACGAAACTGGCGACTTTGCTCCAGAAGTATGAGGGTGCAGGATGGTTATGAGTAAATTTCGTACCTATACTATGTATCCGTAGATATAGGTACCTCCTCGTACTGTAAAACCGCCCATAAATTCATAGAAATTTGAAATTTTGCTTTCTTGTCTTTACCACTCCATCCCAATATGAGTAAATACACAAAATATATATATTTCAGATGAGATATTTTTATAAACGGTAGAAACACAAGAACTTTTTCATCAACTAAATTACCTTTCCTAACGAACACAATTTGCCAATCAGAAAAACGGACATGAAAAAATTGCGAGACGGTCGAGTAATTTTGATGTGCTAGCAAAAAAAAATTAGTTTCATTAGACTCTTTGAAAGAATAATAACATAACACAAATTGGGCGATATTTTTTAGGCGGTTCATTTTTCAAATTTGGCGCATTTAAAATCGAAATTGATTGATCATAAATTATTAACATGGATTAATTGATGAATTCATCGATTAATTGAATAATGGATATCCACCGTTTCATGATAAATATTTTTAAAGTCCTTAAATATCAGATTCGGGGACCCCTAATACACATATTATTTCCGAAACTCGCCACTACAGAAAACTTACGCTACATTCGTAATTTGGTAAGGGCACTTGTGCCTTAACGAGGGTACTTTAGCGAGAATATTCTGGGAACATATTTTATAAGAAATATCCTTTGTCAGCAAGCTATAAATATAACGAGAAACCAATTAGATAGCCCGTTTCATTATAAAAGATGAATTTATACGCATATTTGGAGATAGTTAGGAGCAGTTTATTGAAATCAACAGAATAAGATGTCATTTAATCAGCTCTTGGGCCTAAACGGCTCACTTCAGCAAAAATATACTGGGAACATTTCTTGTAGAAAATTTCTTCATCTTAAATTTTTATGTCCCCATATTTTTTCTTAAAACGCACCGTTTTGGAGATATTTTCAAAAAACCGTTTTTGAGCGCCATCTTGGCAAGATGGCGGCGCCGGCGGCATGTCCCGGAATGTGCATTTTGTGAATTTCAGTTCTGGACACCCAAAACTATAATCCTACAAAGTTTCAAAACTTCCGGACTTTTTTCCAGGTAAAAATCCCCAATGACTGGCCTATTAAGAATTTTCCGAAACTTTGATCAAGGGATTGGAAAGGAATATTCTCAGATATATTTATGAACACAAAAAAATTGATAAACAAGGTGTTTTTGAAATAAGTCAACATATTATTCACCACATCAATATGATACAGTCCAAGGAATATTTCCATGATATCAGATTTTTTTTTTAATTCTTATAATCAACGAGAAATTAAATCCCAAAAATTTAACAAAATACGAGAAAAAAATCAAGTACGCCACTTTAAAACAGTTTAAATGATTGAACTCCGCGTGATTGTGCCTACCACATGGAAATTTGAACAGAGGTGACGTCAGATTTGCTACAGTGGGTGGAAAAAGGAGTCTAACCTCGAATTTTATTTTGATCCCTGAATTTTTTGTATTAGTGCCATTCGATAGTACACGTCGAGCTTTCTCAGTGTTTGAAATATTTGCAATTATTTCAATGCCATCCTGTGTATATAAAGAAATACATTGATAATTCTTATTCTCCATGTGATGAAAATATTGATTTTTTCTGGGTTTATTCAACAGAAAACAACTACTTTCCTGGCTATATGCCACGACGAACATTGAATTACATCTTTTGAACACACACACGACAAGAATTTGAAAACAAAATGATATTATGTGCATATCTTTATCTGGAGGAGAATGCAAAATCTCTACTTCAGAAGATTTTGTTTTCAAATTCTTATCGTGTGTGTTCAATAGATGTAATTCAATGTTCGTCGTGGCATATTTCCAGGAAAGTAGTTGTTTTCTGTTGAACGAACCGAGAAAGAGTTAATATTTTCATCACATGGAGAATGCGAATTTCCAATGTATTTCTTTATATACAGGGTGGCCCATCGAAAACTTGACATCGGGGCAGAGACCAGAGTGGGTGACTGATCTCTGTTCGGGGTTTTGGGTGACAATATCGCAGATGAGGAAAAACTCTCCGACAAGTCGATTTTAGTTTCGAGGGGGACATTTTTTTCTCCTACATGCACTACTGTCACTACAACACTCGAGCCGTGAGGTGCACAACCCCTAAAATTTGAATAGGGAATAATAGTGAGTGGCCCGTCTTTTGAAAGCCCCTTGAGTTTTCTATCCAACGGCGTCCCAATTTTGAAGTTGGGATGAACCGTTTGGGAAAAAATAAATTCAGGAATAAACCTTTACGATAGTTAAGAGCTTACTTGTACGTCTCTGAAACACTCATTTGCCAGTTTTTGTAATCTATCATTCATTTGCAGCGATGCTGTGAAAGTTTTTGCTCAGTTTCTTTCGCGGTACCCATGTAATGAAAAAGAACAAACAGAAAGAGCATGCAGTTTCTGTTTTTCACGTGTGTACCACAAGTTAGTTTCATTCGTGTGTGGTATCGTACGTCTAATGGTGTAAACAGGGGCATAGATGGTTGAGTGAGTTGATTGAACTGTATTATGTAAACAATAGATGTGCGAAAAGGGCTGCTGAACGGTTCAATCAACAATATGGTAGGACTGTGTCGCGGCCGTATGTGTCTGAATTTGTATTAGAATTCCGAGAAAAGGGATCGGTACGGCAAATCAAACCGCCAGTAAGAAATGAGGCGACAACAAAGGCAATTTTGGGCCATCTTGAGGTTGACCATACGTTGAGTACAAGACAGCTAGCAACTGTTTCCGGTATCTCAAGAACTAGCATTCAGCGTATTTTAAAACTACATAAATTCCATCCTAACAAAATTAAATTAACACAAGAACTGAATGAAGATGATTTTGATCGGCGTTTACAATTCTGTGAAGTACTAAGTGAGCAGGCGATTGCAAATCCTCAGTGTCTGTTCAACATTTGTTTTAGTGATGAATGTTCGTTTTTTTCAAATGGCATAGTTAATCGCCATAATTATCGATATTGGGCTGACTCTAATCCCCATATATTCCATGAGGTATACATACGCAATATCCCCAAAAATTTAACGTATGGGCTGGTATTTTTGGGGATCGTATCGTGGGCTCTTTTTTCTTAGAAGGCAATCTAACAGGGGAAATGTATCTGGAACTGATTGAAGACACAATTGATCCAATGTTAACGAATTTTATTGAAAATGACCATCGCATTATCTGATGGAAGATCCGTTGATATTTCAACAAGAAGGTGCTCCTCTCCGCATTATGCTATGCCTGTTCGGCGATATTTAGATCAACACCTACCTGGTCATTGGATTGGTAGGCGATCACCAGACCTGTCTCCCTTAGATTTCTTTATGTGGGGGATTTGAAAAGCAAAATTTATAGTACACCACCAGCTTCACTAGCAGATTAACGGCAACGAATCAGAGAAGAATGTCGCCATATCACCCCATCAGACATGCTCCAAAATGTTTGAGAACGTTTTCAACAAAATCTATATCATTGCATGGAAGTTGGAGGTGCGCATTTCGAGCATTTGTTAAGATGAGAATAATATAAGTGCATTTTAGGCTTAACTTAATTATGGCCCATTCTGGTTGAAAAACTGACAACCGTTGATTCGAACATTCGGACTTTCAAACGAAGTGCCACTCGACTCCTATTCCCTACTCAAATTTCAAGGGTTGTTCACCCCCCTGCTCGAGGGTTGACGTGACGGTGCTGCATGTAAGAGGGCACAATGTCCCCCCCCCTCGAAACTAAAATCGACCTATTCGAGCGTTCTTCCAGGTCTACGATATTAGTACACTAAAAAAGAAAAAGTAGTTATTACCAAACGTTTAGTCAAATAGGCGCCAGTCACAGCTTTCATCAAATGATACCACTACATCATTAAATAATACTACTACTATATCAAATAGTACCACTACAAAATAGTATAATACTCATAGTTTAGTATAGTTCAACTTTGTATTGATATTATTTGATGAATGTAGTGACTGGCGCCTATTCCACTAAACGTTTGGTATTCACTACCGACTATTTCTCTGAGTGTGCCCATAACCCTCATGTCAAGTTTTCGTTGGCCACCCTGTATATATCCATTTTTTGTGTTCACGAATATATCTGAGAATATTCCTTTTCAATACTTTCACCAAATCAAGGGGTTCAAACTTGAACGATAAAAACTTGTTATTTTTATAAACCTCAATCGCAGATTCGTGATTAGGTTTTCTCCATTCAGAATTTCTTTGCATGTCCTGTATGATGAATATCAATTGATCATACATCCAAAAATTTGATGAAGGTCGTGGATAATAGGTGGGGTTCGGGGCACTTCTTCCCCCAACGTCTTTATTTATGCAATTTTTTTGCAGTTTGACAAGGAAATATGAAAGATGATATTTTCACTCAGAAATGTCACATTTTTAGTTTCGATAGTACTCGCCATTTTCGGGATAAATCAATTCTGAAAATCTACCATTGGGAAAATTCGTTACCCTATCAAAGGAAAAATCACGATATTCATGACGCAGCAGAATTTTTGAATCGATTTATATATCTCGAGAATGGTGAATGCTATCGAAACTGAACAAGAGTACCATTTTTGAGCGAAAATGTTGAGATTTACATATTTGGTGGTCAAAGTGCCAAAAATTTCATGAACAAAAAAGTTGTGAGAAAAAGTATTCCTGGCCCCACCTATTTCCGACGCTCCTGATTGGAATTTCGAAAATTTCTCAACACTTCCGAGTCGGTTATAGAAAGTTGGGTACAGGGTCTTCACGTAGGTATTCTTGAATATGTTGACAGAAAAACAATTGAACATCTCAAAAAAAGTTATCAGCAAGATGTATACATTTTTGAATGGAACACCCTGTTTTTCACTGCCTTTTCAGATTCTTCCTGAAGAGCTGATTTCATCGATCTATTACAGTTGGGGTTTAGCAGGAATGATTACAGAGATATACAGGGTGGTTCAAAATTCAGAATTCTGATCACCCTGTATGTGTTCCAATTAAATGTCAGTGGATAGTAGATCAAAAGTTGAGATGAGTACATGAAAACCGTTTCAGCCAATGATGAATAGTTTCGACACAAAAATTCCTGAAATTCAAAAAATCTCAAGTTTTCACACCCTATATATCTCTGTAATCATTCCAGCTAGACCCCCAACTGTGAAAGATCGATGAAATCAGCTCATCAGGGAGATTTTAAAATGCAATAAAATACAGGGTGTTCCATTTGAAACTTTATACATCTTGCCTATAACTTTTTTCGAAAAAAATATTCGATGATAAATGAAATAGTTAAGGAGGGATTCAAAATATACGTGAAGACACTGTACATGTGCAGAATTTGGTTATTTTAACACAGAGAGTTTCGAGAATATTCACATGAAACCATAATCTCGGGCTCCCCTTTAGATGGGTATAACACTACAGGAGGCCATTTTCGGACCCATTCACTATTTTTGTTCTAAGAATCTGTGGTTAAGACCTTTCTATGTAATTTTGGGACACCCTGTATACTACACCTACCTCTCAATAATTCTGTTATATTCGCGTGCCCATGATTTCAAACAACTTGCTGTCGGGATATGTGATAAAATGTGAACGGACTCTTTTTTATCTTCAGACGCTTTCAAAACTTCAACCAACCATTTTAGCTGGTCATATGGATCATTGTCTTGATATACTAGCCACCTGAAAAAAAAAAAAAACATACGGGCTTTCACGCTAGGTTGATAGTTGCGCAATACTTGGTAACAATAATGTCATGCCAAAACTGCACATCGAAAAATACTAGTAACTTTCCAGATGCCATATTTATTTGACATTTCTAGAAGCGATTTGTTGTGATCAGCTGATCTCTGCGAATTATTCATTTCTGACAATTTGTACTTTCAAGGAATTGTCTGTGACTTATTTTTGTGGATCATAGGTGAAATTCGATTATACTTCCAATGACTGTGAGAGATGAGATGTAAGTTGAATGATGGTATTAATAATGATATTTTGTGTTATCCGAATGATCCAAATATGATTTGTGTTAGTTTATTGTAATGACATAGTGGATTTATGAGTTTTTGTGGGTTTTCCTCATGAATTATATTGAGAATATTGAAGTAAGAACAACGCTTGTTGTCTATCTCATAATCTCCAATATAAGTAGATGCACCACTATTTATTTTCACACGAAATAAAATCAATTGATCGAATTTCTTTTTCATTTCACCAATTTTTAGTAATTGAAAAACATTCAAAATGATTAGATAACCAAAAAATGGAATTCGAAAATGTGAATACTGATCAGTTTTATAAAAAAAAATTATTTCAGTGCATAATTGTGTATTGGTAGAAAAATGGGTTATTTTTTATGTCAATATCTGTGATTATTTGTTGATGTTGTTATATAATAAATCATTCTTCAAGTTATTATTCTTTATAAGAATTTCATTATCATTGAATTTCATATTCATTATATTGTTTAGGTGCATGATTCATTAAACACAAATATTGAAGTTCATTTATCAACTTCGAGTGCTGATTTTGAAACATAAATGGACGGCTTTTGAGTTGGTTCCAAAAAACATTATAACGTCCGACGATCGTAACACTAGACATATCCATATTCAGGTGGTTGGTCATTCAGTCATTTCCTTTCAACTGGCAACACTGAATGTGTGGACATATTGACGTCACTATCAACCCAGCGTGAAAGCCCTTAGTGAACATGCCGGGTATACAGTGTGACCCACTTCTAATGGAAACACTCCTGTATCTAATGTAATCGTTGGGTGAGGAACCATCCCAATTTTCGGAAAATGAAAGGACTCAAAAATCTTTTTCCTGGAAAATTTTGGGTTCTGAAAAATTATATTTTGTCGCACTTTCTACAGAAGCACCCCCGTATCTTACGTAATTGACTTCATTTTTGGACTTTCCCTTCCTCCTGCAAATTTCAAAGCCTTATATCAATAATTACGTGTGATACGGGGGTGCTTCCATGAGAAGTGAGACAAAATTCAATTTTTTGAACTGAAAATTTTCTAGGACAACTATGAATAGTTAGTGAAATGGGCGTTCTGATTCCGAATCCGAAGTGATTTTCAACCTACTTTGACTCCTAATATCATTTTGTGGAAATTGGAGTGGTTCCATGGCTGTTGGCGAGCAGTGTATATCACTGAAGATAACCCCACTTGGTCATAGCACCAAACAGAAACGTCTTTGTTTCTGTTCGGTGGTCATATAGAGTGCATTTTGGTATATCTCTCGCTCCAGCAAATTTCAGGATCCTTACCCAACGACTACGTAAGATACAGGGGTGTTTCCATTAGAAGTGGGTCACACTGTATATGATAAAAAAACATCGAATGGCTTGATGAGCTGTGCCAATACTAACTGATGATTATAATCAATGGGGAGGTTTCCTTCTGAAGAGTTTTCATCAAATTAGTTTTACACCGATTAGCATGCATTACCTATGTTTTTGAAATCTAGAATACCTATTGAAATGATCTATTCCAATTCAATTTGCAAACTAGAGCATCAATTAGGAAATTCTCAACGCGAAACAATGACGTGAACGACTAATAGATTAGTCTCGCTTTTCGTGATTAAATTATCCGAACAAGCCCGAAGAGAATGCAAAAGAAGAATATACATCAGGGTGTTTTATTACTAATTGGAAATATTTCAACCATAGCATCCCGAACTCAAAATATGAAGATTTAACCCAAATCACCTAAATGAAATATGTCTCCTGCCTGAGTTACAGGGTGTTTTATTCAAAAATTTTCAAATGTTTTTTGCCCAGTTCTTCAAAACCATTCGACGTATCACTTCCATATTTGGAGGGAAGTGTAGGTATCATACATCCAAATGAATTATGTGAAATGAGCTTTTCTAGCTATTACCAGAGGCGTACGACAGGGTCAAGTGACTGGTTGATCCTTCCCAAATTCTACGCCACTGGCGAAATTGCAATTTCATCAGAATCATTCGACTCTTCGATACCTTCTTCGAAAATATTGTACTCCTTCTTCATAGCGATAAAGTCATTATTTTTCGAGATATTTCAAGTTAAACATGAAGCAGCACAATTATTTTACTTTTTATGTGTATCAATGAAGTCGATATTTTGGATCAATGGACTGCAGTCATCAATCAACTGAAACTTCAATCCATATCAACATAATAACATAACAGACGGGAGCTGTTAGAGGGCGGTTTTAATTTTTTCATATATATTACATAATTAAATACCCTGTAACAGCTCCTGCCTGATATGTAATTGTGTTTTTATTGTTAATATGGATTGAAGTTTCATTTTATTGATGAATACAATCCATCGATCCAAAATATTGACAAAATTAATGCACATTGAAATCAATATATGATTGTGCAGATTTATGTTTAACTTGAAATATCTCGAAAAATAATGACTTTATCGACATGCAGAAGGGGTACAATATCTACGTCAAAATTGTTGGAGAATCGAAAATTTGTGATAGAATTGCAATTCCGCTAGTGGCGTAGAATTTGGGAGGTATCAACCAATTAGCTGCCCCTGTCGTACGCCTCTGGTAATAGCTAGAAAAGTTCATTTCACATAATTCAATTGGGTGTATAATACCTACACTTCCCTCCAAATATGAAAGTGATACGTCGAATAGTTTTGAAGAACTTGGCAAAAAACATTTCAAAATTTTTGAATAAAACACCCTGTAACTCATACAGGAGACATATTTTATCTAGGTGATTTGGGTTAAATCTTCATATCTTGAGTTCGGGATTCTATGGTTGGAATATTTCCAATTAGTAATATGAAACACCCTGTATAACCTTCTGATTGGTGAGGAACCTAAAATATAGTTATTTATTATACAAGGGAAAAAAGTAGTAGATTTCAGCTCGAGGTTGTGTTGTCTCCCGACGCGTAGCGGAGGGAGAAAACAAACCGTGAGCTAAAATCTAATATTTTTCCCGTGTATAATACACTATTTTTTTCTGTGACAGAAGAGAGGAAGAATCAATATTGAGAAGTTATTACATTATTTTGGAATCTGAAAATTATCGACGTGAAATTCTAAGTTTTTAACAGTAGGGACACCGCGTTGTAGGCATCTTTATCATTCATTTGAAGTAATCAAATATCTGATGTCACTTCTGTCAGTCTAATTCTGTGATTTGATTTCAAAAAATTGCGAATTCAGAAGTTGTTTAGTAATATACGTAACCGCGAAGTCGAATGGAAGATTAAAGGACTTGATGCAGTTCATTCTCGGAGACGGTATTATTGACTCATTTTTCGGAACTATAGCACAACGAAAGCCATCAACAGTGTTTATATATGTGATATATATCCAGGAAAAAAGTAATTCATGAAAAGTGACATTTTATAACCTGCCAATAACAGAGATGAAATGCCAAACTTTTTTCCCGTCACAGAAAAATAGTAGATTGTTTCATTAGGATCAAAAGTGACACTTTGTTTGACAAGCGAATTTTGCATTTGCGAGGCGGAGCGTTTAGCGAAGCCGAGCGAAAGCAAAATTTGCGAGTTGAACAAAGTCACTTTTGATCCGAATGAAACATGCTATTTTTTCTGCAACCGAAACAATTAACTCAAATAAATATGTGAAGTTACCACGAATGCCGTGCCATATGTATGCAATGCAACAAATATTGACAAATAATCCGTGTGGTGAGAACATTCTACCTTCATCAACAGCAGGTTCATTCAATTTTCGAGAATGTTCGAATGGTAGTTCCAATATAGATACAATCACAGAGTGACATATTTGTGTATGGACCAGGTGCTCTAATGGCGAATACCAGCTATAGGAACAAGACGTGGAAAATGTTAGGTTAGTGACAATAATAGTAGCTATTATTTACTCTCCATAATACAATGTTTTTCGCTTGATAATCAAATGAAGGTAAACAATATCGTTGTTTGAGACAAAAAAACTATTGCTTGCCGTGATTATTCAAAAACAAGTTATCCATCCCGAGAATAACGAATGAAATACAGATCAAGCAAGTATTTGAATCTTGAAGGCTTTCCTGATCAAAACAAAAATACTTAACTGAGATGTTTATGATTTCAATACTAAACTATAATGAAGGTGTATTTATATCTCCAGCATGGGTATATGAAACGCCAAATCTGCTGAAATCGGAAACAAATCAGGTATGCGTCTCAACCCAAATAACCAAAGGTCAAAATGTTGTTTATTCTTGATGACTTCCAGTAGATCCTTTTTAGTTCCTAGGAGCTAAAGTTCAACTTTAGCTCCTAGGAATTAAAATTCAACTTTAGCTCCTAGGAACTAAATATGCTGCCTAGCAACATTTTTGTGTCAGTAATGGAAACGTCAATTTAAGAGCTAATTTTGGTATCAAAATGGACGACTTTTGTGTCGGTTGCAGAAAAACATTATTTATATTATCGATCATTGATATATCTAATATCTATATTTGAATTAATAAATGACTGAATGAATAACTGAATAGACAAGACAATAAAAAATAATCGATAAATTGGGAAATAGTACCTGCATAAAAACATTCTCAGAGCTCAAAATATTGAATTTTTAACTATCCGAAAGATGTATCAGATGAAATGAAAAGAACACTCATAAATTATATTTTTCGTTCACTTTTTTTCGAAACTACGTAATTGAAGGATGTTGTTTTGTGTGTTCAAAACTCATAGACTGGTTTGTCAATTGTTTGAGTATAGAGTGGAGAACATGTATACAAAATATCTGAAAATTATAATAGGTGTTTCGTTACTTTTGATTATTAAAGGAAATTAAGTGGAAGGTTATTTAGACTGTCAAAATGAAATGTATGTTTTATCCAGACCACCACATCATAGACCTACTGTTGACATAATTATGTCTATTTTCCAATGGACAAACCTATTCATCACCGTTAGCGTTGATTTGTTTATCGCTCAGTACGCGATATATGTCATCGGAATCGAAGAGAAGAAAGTTTCTCAAGCAAATTCCTACCAATGAAGAACATATAAAGGGTGATTTTAAATTCTATGTAAATATTCTAAGGAGGTATTGTTGGAATCAGAATGGGACTTTTTCTCTATACAGTGTGGTCATTTGAGTGTGCAACATATGGGAATCTTTTTAATGAATTGCACAACCAAAATACAGATAGTGCCGAAAGTTGGTGCATGTTCAGTGATCGTTTTAGGTGCACTTGAAATGGTTGGAAGTCAAACAGTATAGGTGAAAAAATATAAAAATTGTCCAAGTGTAAAGTCCCCATATTTCAGAAAATTCAGCAAAATGTTAATGTGGAAAGTTGTTTGCGATCAAAAGTTATGCCAAAATAACAAAACGACATGGCCTCCTAAGACTCCTAAGAGATTTTTGAGTTTTTAAATTTTTTTCGTTAATATCCCAATTTGTATTTTTTTTACATTCACCCTAAACCCCTAACAACACAGGGGTGTCCTAGGTACGTCCCTTTTTTGTCCCGCGGTACAAGGACATGATTGGGGCATCCAGGGGATGTCGCGCAGTGGTTGTCCAGTGGACATCCCGCACGGTACATCCCTAGGTTATCCAATTCGTGTCCCTGGAATATCTGATATCCATTTACATCAGAGTCATTGAATTTCGTCAAAGTATTGAGTTGCAGTTTTTTGAAAATGTTTGTTTTCTTTCGGATAATAATCGTAATGAAAATAAAGAATAAAGTTTCAGAACTTCTTAAGAAATTACCATTTTTCGCAAACAGAAATCGTACATGCATAATGCCCCTCATTTTTAAACACCCAAGAATGATATAATAATTATACCCGATATCCTAACGGAGTTGTATTTATTCAGGTTTCTGTAGTTAAGTCCTGTTTATTATTCTATTTAGTACATAAATCTTCAGGAGGCTCAATAGCCAATGGAGTAAGATGCGTGCCTAATAAGCCGAAGGTCCCGGGTTCAATCCGTACTCGACCTACATTTTTTTCCTTCTGTCGAAGGGATGTCCCTGGGATATCCTTGGGACGTCCTAGGGATATCCTTTCTTCGTACTTGGTACATCCCAGGGACGTACCAGAAGGACATCCCTAGGATGCCTCTTTTTGTGGAAAGCGGATGTCCCTGGGACGTCCCTAGTATGTACCATGTCCCGACACAGGATATCCCAGGGACGTCCTCGTAGAAAATGAAGGACGTCCCTGGGACGTCCCTGGGACGTACTCGTGTTGTTAGGGACACTTCCATAAATTGATCATAACAAAATCAGTTGATCATACCCTTGTTAAAATTCAAGCATTTTCGTGCAATGTGCAATTAACTTGGATCTTAAATTTTTTAGGGAATCAGAAACATGTTTGTTGCAACGATATTTAGCTTTACTTCAAAATTTCGAAAACCATATTTTTAACAAGGTAAAACGTTATTGATGATAATTTGCAGATTCGTGAACTTTCATCTAATGATGTGAAATGTTTATGAAAAAGTTGTACAAATCAATCGAGAACCATGATATCATTTGAAATAATCACGAATACCCAAGAAACAAAACAAATGAGGGTTGACAGTAAACATTGAGACAGTTTCGTGACATTAACTTCTCATCTAATGATGTTTTACCTTGTTAAAAATATGGTTTGCGAAACTTTAAAGTCAAGCTGAATATCGTTGCAACAAACATAAAGTTTGTGAATCCTTAAAAAAGTTAAAATCCAAGTTAATTGCACAAATATTCTTGGATCTGATCAAAGGTATTCTCAACTGATGTTGTTATGATTGACTCATGAAAGTGTTCAGGGTGAATATTTGAAAATTACAAATTGGGAAATTATTCACGAGAAGAATTGAAAAACTAAAAAATGCCTTAGAAAGCCATGCTTTGGTATTTAGGCATAACTTTCAATTGTTACCAACTTTTCTCAATAATATTTGACTGAATTTTCCGAAATAAGGGTACTTTACTCTTGAGCAATTTTAAGATTTTTTGACCTACCCTGTATGCTGTTTGACTTGCAACCATTCTGAGTGCACCTAAAATGATTACCGAACATGCACCCACTTTCGGCACTATTCAATTCATTAAAAATGACCACACTGTATGAACATGTGTCCCAGAATGCTTCCCCTTCTAACTACAGCCACTGCGTAGGTTGGCTGAAAAAAAAAAAGAGTAACTGAAATTATTGTGATCATTATAACATGGATCAAGAGTGCAAGTATTAAAGTACTGCACGCCTCTGAAATGGCAGTCCCAAATGCGTTCCGACATACGATCACCTCCGTATCCAAGATGCAAGAGTTTGAGCCATTGAGTTCGAGGACGATGTCGTGATTTCCCCTTTCTTTGATTATGATTTTCTGACGAACGCAGGGTTGTTGGAAAAAATGCAGGAGACTTAGTTCCTACATTTTTCCATGGCTCACAAGACCATGCTATTCAAAGTCAGAGTTTCTCTTTTTAAACATGAAATTTTTGCCAACAAGAGTGTAGATTCCCCTTTAACTCTTCATTTCTGAAGAAAGAAAAATTTTGAATGATTTTTTTCAGGTAACTTACAGTGGCTACAGTTTAGGACACATAGGTAAAGGAAGAGTCTTATTTTGAGTCCAACAATATTTCCTTGAATTATTCACATCGAATTTTGAATCACCCTGTTCAATTATCATTTTCTTTGATGCATCACCAATTGTTCGTTGGTTTTCAACAAATTGGTATATTATCAGAACGAAAATTTGTCGAAATATCGAAGAATCTTACCAGTTGTCAACGGAGCAAACGTTATTATTCAGCACAATTATCCTCAAACCAGGTTTTGCCTGCACTGTATAATATCCGCCTTTGAGAATGGTTTTTTTCACCTCTTCTTCTGATAACCACTTAGTCCACTTGCTCAGAGCCAACTTGTACAACCAATTAGTCGATAAATTTTCTGCTATTTTTTCTGGTGCATACCTGGAAGAAAATCCCAGAATAAGGTTCGTATTATCCAGGAGGTGATTCTACGTTTGAAATTAAGAAAAATATTCCTACCAACATGTGTCCTGAAATACTTTGAATCGAGTTTCAATTATATTTGTCGATATCAGAATCACCAATTCTGGTACCTAGCTGTGATTTCACCTCATATATTATTATCGTTTCGTGATATGGAAAACATGATTCAATATACACAGGGATATGCGAAACCGATGCTATAAAGATGCCCGTTACATTATTTGGTTGTTATTTGATTGTTCACCGATTTACATCTGTATTTCCATAGAGTGTGATTAGATCTACAGTGTATCTCTAACACTCCAAGAGATAAAAAAATCATCTTGTTTGAACGGTTTTGCCATGCAGAAATAAAAAAGTTCTTGTGATGAAAATTAAAGGTTGTCTGATGAAATTTGGAGTATGAGTTATACCTATTTGAAAATATCATCAAACATTAAGAATAAATTTTCAGAAATTGTTTCACTTGCTATGGCAAGAAGGTAAAATTGGAAGGTAAGTTACAACAGTGGTCATTGTTTTGTGCACTTCTCTGTATGAGTTTTATTCAAATATACACTCAGTTCCAAAGAAGTGACGCACTTGAGAAAAAAAAAACAAAAAATATAGTAGGCCGATTTTTTTTTATTCGTTGGCAGGTAATGCATTTGTCTTTGAAAAAAAAATAAAGAGGTGACAATTCTTTCAAAGCCTCCTTGATGGTGGTGGAATAACTCGAACCATGATTTATTCTTAATTTTTGACTAACCCTGTTCGTTAATTGAGTAGTGGCATAGAAAGTGCTTACACCCTATACAAAAGAGGCTTCTTTTGCGAGCATTTTGTTTTTTTATTCATTGATTTATCTCTAAAATTTTCCGAGTTACAGCTTTTTTTGCTGAATCCTTGCAGATTACCAACTTTCTGAATTTATCGAGAAACAAATTTCTAATGAAATAAACTGATACCAATAATTTCAAAAAACATTTTCATTAAACACAAAATTATAAATTGGGATGACTGCCTAATACCGTGTATTGCCTCCTCTAGCAACGCTAAGAACTTCTAATCTACGAGGCATACTGGAAATTGAGTTGCTTATCGTTTCCATTGGTATACGATCCCATTCTTCCACTAATGCATCTGCCATTTCTGCGAGAATTTCCGGAGACCTCTCACGAGAAATTACCTCTCCCTAATTCATTCCACAATAGTTCTATGGGATTCATATCGGGGCTTCTCGCAGGCCACTGTATGTGGTAATACCATCAGTAGCTTCTAAGAAGTTTCGCATTATTGCTGCGGTGTGTGTTCGGGCATTATCCTGCATCAATATAAAATTATTGCCCACTAACTCTGCATAAGGTAAGACATACTGCTCTAAAATGTCAATGTAAATTTGGGCATTCATCGACTGCCTCACCGAAAAAACATGAAGGGGTGTCTTTCCATTCATTGAATTCCCTCCCCACATCATAACGGACCCACCATTAAAACTTTCGCATTCTGTTATTGAATTTTGTTTGATTAAACCGTTCACCAGTTCTTCTCCACACTCTTTTTCTTCCATCCACCATGTTAAGGCAAAACCTCGACTCATCCGTAAACAAGACATTCGACCATTCAGGAATATTTCACTGTCCATAATTTTCAACAAAATTTCTTCTAACAGCACGATGATCGGGCAATAATTTGGGACCTTTCGCAGGTCTCCTATCATTTAGATTAACTTCTTTTAGACGTCTACATACCGTCTGCTTACTTACTGCAACATCACGAATTTGGCGAAGATCTTGCTGAACATTTACCGCAGTATTTGATCGATTCCCTAAAATCCGCAATCTCAAGAAGCGATCATCTCTTGGAGAAATTTTTTGGGGGCGACCAGAACCGACCCTCCGAGCGGTGCTTCCTGTTTGTTCGTTCTTGCGGATTGCTCTACGAGCAGTTGCTTCATGAACTCCCACTGCACGAGCGGCGTAACGTTTACTACGCCCATCGTTTACTAACGCAACGAATCTTGCTACTTGTTCAGGATTTATTTGAGGCATTTTATGTAATTTTAGTCAATGAAACAATACACTAAAGGTGGATAGATCTATCTACCTTGAATACACTTAATTAATGACACAACGACAAATGGTCAAATATGGAGGCATACAACAAATTAGTTGCTATGGCAACGTCATCTGTTTTTTTAAAGACAATGTGATCCTACCAGAGTACAACCCAATCAATTTTGAGTACTCTGATCCTTCAATGAATTTATTTTGTGGGGTAAGCGTAAGGTATCAGCAAAAAAGCTGTTATTCGGAAAATTTTAGAGATAAATCAATGAATCAAAAAACAAAATGCTCGCAAAAGAAGCACTTTGTATACCATCACTCAATTAACACACAGGGTGAGTCAAAAATTAAGAATAAATCATGGTTTGAGTTAATCCACCACCATCAAGGAGGCTTTGAAAAAATTTTCACCTCTTCATTTTTTTTTTAGACAAATGCATTACCTACCAAAAAATAAAAGGAAAATGAAAATCAGCCTTCTTATGTTTTTAAGAAGATAGGTCAAAATAAATATCAAGCGCAACACTTTTTTTGGAACTGAGTGTATGTTTAAACTTTTGAACACACATAATTTGTCACTTTCCAAGAGTATTCATATATTAAGTTAGTATATTACTCTTTTAGATTTCTGAAAGTAGAAAAGTAAACAGTGACATTTCTGGGCCTGATTTGTCCTCAGTACAAATTTAATATACTTATTGGAATGAAACTCGTATTTTCATTCCAAGAAACGAGGAGAGGAAATACCTACTCAGACAGCACACGACGTCCCGAAGAAGTACATATTACGTCCGATACAAGTCCGTACGTTCGGGAACCACGTACCATCCCCTACGTCTTCGGGGCGTACAGAGCGTACGTTTTCAGGACGTCCATTATTAGTCAAATTTTTTTTTTATGTTCATTATTCACTTTATATTCATTATATTTTTCAATGATAATGGAACATTGCCAAATTTGATCAAATAAAGTAGTAATAAGGCCCCTTTGGTATTGGCTGCCGATCATCTGCCGATTCATTTGATAATAGGTCACAATGAATCAAGTGATTTTTTTGTGGAGAAATTGAAGTGAATCTGGCCATGTTGGCATTATATTATCCTGAATATAGGATGCCGATTTCAAAGGATATAAAGATGAATGAATGAATGTGTTCTACGTCCTGTCGTCTTATATCTGACCAATCAGAACATTCAGTCTGATTCCATTTGGTGGAGTGTTTCTGCACTCAATCTATATTATGTTTTCTTCTTACTTGCATGTCTTTGGGTTACTCTGATATTTCGAAAAGTGTTGGGTAGAGTAATGGTTAGAACATCTGCCTGTTAATGGCAGATCTCCACGAAAGATGTGGTAATTTGCTAAGAATCAACGAATTCATTCTTAAAATATCAAACAAATTCTACAAATACCACATCGCTGGAAGTTACCTTACCCGGATCATCAACACACTACGCCAACAACATAACATACGCAAGAAACACGGGCTGATATATGCATCAACCGATGTGTTTAGAGAACCTGGTGATCTATAGTTTGGATCCCTCCCGGATTCTCGGGGATACCCGAGACGCCGGGGGGGCCTAGACAAGACTATCTCTCAAGCAGGAAAATAAAAAAGTGACATGGGCGTTAGAAATGGGTACCCTCAGCGAGATTACCTCTATAAAGGGCCTAGTCCTAGGAGATAGGTACCTGTGACGAACACCTCGCATATCCACTCACATGTCCTGGCCAACACCAGCCACCTCTGCGCCAAGCGGAGGGATATTCAGGCACACATATAGATGTGCTAACATAAATAGAAATGTGGGTGATAATATGTGTTGTATTGTGAGAGAATTGAAGATGAATAGAAGATTTTAATGTGTGCCTGGTAATCTGAAGGTCGCGGGATTGATCTTGTATTCAAAATGAGATTTTTCTCTACTCTGTATTGATTTCTTTTTCATCTATCTGTGTAAGAAAAGGCGAATTAACGTTGATTATGGTATTAACGGCGATGAAATACCCAACTTAATGGGCCTAATATGGGCGTCCCTGGGACGTTCTATCTTGTGACATCGGAAGTCCCCAGTACGTCACTGGACGTCTTCAGGATGTCTTATACGTCCCAGGTGTAAGTCCTCTGGGCTCTGGGACCACATGACGTTTCCGTGTTATCTGGGTACCAAAAAATCTAGGGAAATGAACACTGTTTGGATACCGAAGGAATGAAAATGTAGAGATTCCATATGAATATTAACAAAAAATTATCTCATTGACAGTAGGTAGAGTCCGACCACGATAACTTTGGGACAGCACGTGGTCGCGTATGCATTGAATATGCATATGCGTTGCGTCACATGGTGTCCCGAAGTTAACGTGGTCGGACATCGTTTTGTGTTTCATTGACAACTACAGGAAGATTCTTTATAAAAGATGATGATATTTAGGTACTTACACATTTGCAGGATGCGCCTCATGATTTCCTAGGATTGGAAAAACAGGCACCTTGAAGTATTCTGAAAATTTATCAAATACTTCGCTAATCATTGCACTGTTGTTCTCAATGCTTGTGGACCAAACCCGGTGACTGACCAAGTCACCAGTGAAATAAACGTAGTCGAAATCCTAGAAAAATAATAGGTATGTCAAATTCAATTTGCTTTGGTAGGAGTTCATGTGGAAAAGTGAATTTATGTCTAGGGAGTAGGATGGCCTCAAATTAGATCAATCAAAATATGCAGAAGCTGCGCTTGATGCGTATAGTGTGGTTGCTGTATAATTTTGTTTTGTATATGAAGTGTGCCAGGAGGAAACAGGGAATGTCCTTTTTCTGTTCAAAACGAGTTATCTAATAGCACACAACGTCCTAGGGACGTCCCTATATGGTACAATTCACGTCCGAATGTCCCGAACCAAAAAATAAGTGTCCTTGGGACGTCCCATCCCGTACATCTCATTCAATGTCCGAACAAGGACGTCCACGGAATGTCATGGTACATCATTTCGAATGTCCTAGGAATAGCATCCCTTAGACGTCTCACGTGGTACATATTGTAGAATGTCCATGCAAGGACGTTCTTGGCATGTCCCTGATGGGATATGATTTTAAACGTTCCTTTAGGGACATCCATCGGATGTCCCGAGTAGTACATATTCTGGCATGACTTCAGATCTTATATAATGTCCCTTCTAGACAACCATGAAATGTCCCTGATGGTACAGTCCTTCAAATATCTCCAATTGGTACATGAACTGTACTCTTCCAATGTCCTAGAAATAACGTCATGGACGTCCCAGGCGGTACTTTCAATATGTTGTTCCTGCGAGGACGTTAACTTACACCTCGCCGACGAATGATTGCTCGTAGGCTATAAGTACTCCTCGTCAATGTCCTTCACGTAAGTCCATTGGACATCCTTGGGACACTTTTTGGGGACCTTCTACGGACCATCAACCCAACTGGATGTCCTAATCAGTTATGCAAGATCTGGTCCTAGAGGGACCCAGAAAAATTCAAATTCAAGAATAATTCGTACGTCCCTGGGACATCCTATGGACATCTAATTGATATCTCTCAGCGTTGCTGATAGGTTGTCCTATGGATGTCCTGAGGATGTCCTCTGTAAGTCTTGAGGATGTCCTCTGTAGTGCTCGATAAGGAATACTGTAGGATTTAGGTATTCACTAGTTGTCCCAGGGACATCCCTCAAGAAAATTTGTGCATTTCACAGACGTCCAAAGGACGTCCACGGTACCAAAATCGAACGTCCTATGGACGTGCTGAATGTCTCGACAGGACGTCCTAAGGATATCCATGGGACATAAGTGTGTTATTAGGGTAAGTGATGCCATCTATTAGCCAATTCAGGGTATCAATCTATGCTGAACTCAAATTACGAGAAAACGTGGAGCGTCATGTTCTCCTACATTGTTTTAAAATGTCATATACGGAGAAAACAGGGAATGTCTAACCAAATATCCAATCAGAACTACTTATTTTGCACATGGATTCGGAACGTTTTGCGAGTGCAGAAGGCTCAAGTGTATGGAGAAAGTGAATCCGAGAGACAGACAAACTATTCTCAATTGAAATAATCCACTGGATTCACACAATACCCAAAATTCCTATCTGTGCTTCCTGATATCGATAGTTACCATACAAAGGCGGAGGCCAAGGGCACCAAAAAATTTAGCAGCTACAAATATCGGGTGAGAATTGAAACAGACAACATTCTAAAAGCAAAGTTGAGTACCTACAGAGGTCTTTGAAAAAGCTTGGTGCTGCTCCAAAAGATAAGCGCGAAGGAAAAAAAATTTAAATGATGAGCAGCGATACTTTAGTATGTATTAAATCGCACATTGCTTCGTTCAAACGAGGCAAAGTAATTGCAGCTCAAAGGGCAACAGAAACAGGTCATAATATGTGCCGGAAGAACTCAACATTAGAAAGATGTACAGATTGTTCAAAGATCTCTACCCAAATCAGAAAGTATTTAATCAATCCTATAAGGATGGTTATTGAGAAAGGATTTAATATAGGATTTGGATATCCTAGATCCGATACTTGCGACCAGTTTTCGGTGAAAATGAATGCTGCTGAGAAAGGCCCTGCGAGCGATAATATGGTAATGAGTATGCTGAATATTGAAAGAGAGCTACACTTGCGAAAAGCGCAAAATTTTTATGATCGAAAAAGACGAGGAAATAGAGCTGCTCACAAGAGAGATCAATAAGATGAAGCATTTGAACCCATAGTAATGGACTATCAAAAAAACATATCTCTCCCAAATATATCTACCAATAATGTATATTACAAGCGTCAACTCCCCCAGGTTCAAGGCTGAATTTTAATCGTGCAGGTTCCTCTAACAAACAAACAAACAAACAAATCCGAGACGTGAAACTACACATTAGAAAAATTCCTCAAAAAACTTGGATGAGAACCGAAAGGAAAAAAAAACTCTTCTTCTTGAGATATGTTCCTTGTGATAGGTACATACGACCAGACATTCCCTGTTTTCACCTGAAATAAGCAGACCATACCTCAATATCACTGCTATTTTTGACAGAAGTCTCACTCCTATGTTCAAGTTGAATATTATTTTTGTTGTTCAATGAATATAAGGTGTTCTTGAAATGGAATTGCTTTCCGAACATGAAAAACAACTCAGCTGTGATGTTTTGATCTTAAAAATCACATTATCTCTATCATTTATCACAAGGACATTCCCTGTTTTCACCTGACACCCTTTATATAATATTCGCAATCAATACAGGGTGTTTTAAAAATGCTAACCCCCCTTGCTAGGGTAGGTAGAACAATGCCCAATAAATTGGGTTCGCTCAATCAGAGCCGTACTTGTGAATTTGCGCCCCCTATACATAAACTGTAAGGTACTTTCGAAAAAAAAAAACAATTTCAAATAATTATTCATTTTTCATTCAAAACAGAAACACTCAAAATACAGGAATACATGTGATAGTGGCAAAGAATAAAATGATTGCACATCTCACAACATAAACAAAAATCAAAAGTCTTATCGTGGTAAATTTTTGAACATGTACCTACTCTTATTGTGTTAACACAAAAAGTGCATGAAAAATTATCACAGCGCATGTGCACGCCACGATTGTATGCAAAGTAGTTTGTCGTGATACAATTAACACTAAAAGTGAGTCTGCGAAAGAGCATATGTTGAATAATTGTTAAAAAATACCCCCCTCCTAATCACATGTTCAGTTAATAATTTCGGGACTTCCTACACGAGGGTGGCGTGTGCAAATTTTTTTGGAAGTATCATTTTTCCAAATTTCAACAAGAACTTACTAATCGTTCGGAATCATCAAATTTCAATGCAAATTCGAATTTGCTTGGTGGCGCCGCTGCAGTGCCGGATTTAGAGGGGGCTATGGGACTATCAGCCCCCGGCGGTGAATTTCAAGAGGCGGTAGAGAAAAAGAGGAAAAGCAAGCAACAATACAGTCGTTGACTGGTTGAGATGCTGTTTTTGTGAAAATCATGACATGCACTAATCAGGCCAGGTAGCCGTGCGAACAGAGTGTCTATATTCTAATACGCATACGCTTGCCGGTCGTGGGTTCGATTCCCGTCGACTGCAGACATTTTTCTGATGGCCCAAGAAAGTGTTTGGGATCACACGTTAAAAGGTGAGGCCCCCGTCATTCCTTGCTCGCACAAGACTCTCGAAGACTTCTGAGGGTTGCTCGTAAGGTGGCAACCGAATGACGGATAGAACAATTTTAGAACATTGTCGTTCTAGATGACAACCTAGTTAGGTAGTTAGTAGGCAGGAGCTATAATACAACAACAATCAAGCGTCAGCTGTGTCTTGGACGCTACAATACAAAAGCGGCGGCGGTGCATATATTCATTTGATGATGTGAAGAAAAACTGCATTCTACTCAGTAGAGTAGGGGTAATTTCGTCTAACTCAATAACAATAAACAAAATCAGAGTTCATTTAATAATTGTTGGTAATGGTACTAATAATAAATGAATACTGAAACTGAAATTTTAAAAAATGAGTAAAAAAGAAGGTGGTGCATTCTAGAAACGGCAGAAGATCTATAAACAAAAGCAGTTAGACGAAGTGGTCAAGAAATGCCCTAGTACATTAATTTTTTCTAAATTCAAATGAGACAGAATCTGAACCGACAGAACCGTCTTCGGGAACTCCATGATCTCAAGACGGGAATGGTAAGTTTAGTATTTTTTTACATTCAATACGCGCAAAAGAAGAGTTAGAATATCAAAAATAGATGATCAAAATATGAACACGACTAAGCGTTGTTTTAGGGATAATCACAACAAATTCCTAATTCATTGAATATTGGCAATTACTGAGCATTTCTTTACTATCCCTGATGATTAGTAATGACGGTGGTGAAAGGTCATTCTCAACTTTAAAAAGAGTGAAAAACTACCTTAGGAATTCCATGGTAGAGGATATATTGAATATGTTATCAATTTTGAGTACAAACAGTGACATGTTATTAAATCTGAATTTTGATGATGCCATTGACGACTTTGCATCGAAAAAATCAAGAAAAGTTTTTTAGTATTCATCTGAAAAAAATATTCGTTGTTTGTTGTTAAGTTCAACGTGTGAAGTAAACATAATTCGATTCGTTGTACATAATGATTTCATGTTATTTTTATATGCTGTAAAAGAAGCATTGAAACGACTATTTGAATTTTGAAACTGACAATTGAAAATTAAATATTTGGCGGCGGCGCGGCGGCTTCGTAAAAGTTAGCCCCCGGCGTAAGGGAGTATGGATCCGGCACTGCGCCGCTGTATGCGAACACAAATTGATAATAGACGAGTAGACTATAATTTGTTTTTCAAATATAATCATCACTCGAATACCTTTCAATTTTATATTTTTTTGGAATTTTTCGGTCGATTTTTAGATGAATCATCAATAATGCCACAATTTTAGAACGGCTAGAAATTCACCGCCAGTAAAAACTCACCCCACGATTTCGTAAGTAAGGGCAGAGCATAGCACAGTTGCCATGTGTTGAAATACGATTGGGGTGTGAATAATAATTATATTATTTCATTTTTTGACATTTGAATCGGTGAACGTGACAACCCCGCGCACGACCTGTAGGCGTGATCTTGTCAGTTCTCAGCATTGTTATGGAGAATAAGAAATATTTGGGCATGCTGGTTGCTCCAATAAGTCAAGAATGAACTATAATGTCATGAGTTCTTCCTATAATGTTTTATTCAATTCATTCATTATAACTGGTGACTTGATAACCTTGCTTCATGAGTGGAAATGAAACATTATCTGACCAATAACGAAACAGCATAAAAACTGACTTCACCATTTTTTCGACGTATCCGCGTATCGTCAAATGGCGACCATGACGTTACGTTTGAAATGAAATTTAGGTTCCTTACGACATTGAATGTCAATTTTCAATATCAGTCCACTAGCCCATTGTCTAGGACATGTTGAATACTCATGGAAATCATGATTTTTAAAGATGCATACATTGAAAAAAACGTTGTACAGAATCTGTCATTACCTACATACAATATCATTTTCGGAAATTTTTGTATCCAATTCATTTTCATGGATGATTTGAAGAGTTTGAATATGATCTAACATTGCAAAATTTTCCATTGATGATAAATAATAATAATAAATAATTAAACTATGGTTTTGTTGATAATTCCGAAATTCTACACGTGGAAAATGAAGGAATAAAACTCAATCATTTTAAATCATAAGAAATGAACAAACTAAAAAATTTTGACATTTCATTCAACGATCAATTAGACCTCAATAGTTCACCACTGTTGAATCCATTTTCTTAGTAAGTAATAATATGTATTTGCTATCAACCCTTTCAAGTTAATCCGCGGTACACCGTATTTTAATGTAGATATTGTGCCTAATTTCCAAAAATGGAGGTTTATCGAACCTGTCCACAGGTAACTTATCCTTCAGGTTGGAAGAGTAGAATATATTATTAGCAAGCCCAAGTTTAGTTCATCGTACCAGTATATATCACCCTGACGAAGCGAAACGTGTGTTTGAGAATTTTGTGAAAATCTCATCGTTTGTGAAGTTTTCACATTTGCCATGGATTTTCATCAAGTTACGGCCGAGTCAATTAAAAAAAAAAACATTCGTTAACGTTGAACACGAGTAGGTGATCAGTTTTTTTCACGTGACCTCTCTGGATCGTGTTAACAGCCCAGAGTAACTTTCCGAAAACACCATAGAAATGAAAGTCCATCCTCATTATTTGGATTGAGTCAAATTTCTGCATAAGGAGATTCGCAAGCATGAGGAACAATACTATGAAGTTAGTTCCCAGCGAGCACAAACATCCCTGGGATGTTTTGAAAATGTTGGCATGAAGATGTTATTTTGAGACGTAATATGCACTGACCAAAGAGGTCTTTGAAGGATATTGAAGTGTTGTTTTTGTTCTTCTGTGGCATTTCTTTGTTTGCCTACTGAGAGGTATCCCTGGGATGTTTTGGGATGTTTTAGAAATGTGAGCATGAGGATGTTTTTTTGAGGCGTAATATGCACTTCCCAAAGAGGTCTTAGAAGGATATTGAAAGTATTGTTTTTGTTCTTTTGTGCCCTTTCTCTGTTTGCCCCACCACAACGTCTCATGCTTACGTCACAATACGATGAATTTTGATTTATTTTCGATTTTGTTCTTCTTGTCACGCTGCTAACGAACAGAAAGGAATTTGGTGAAGTTCATTGTGTTAGAAGACTTATTTAGTTTGTAATAATGACCATCAGATGCAAGATGTGTTGTTCGGTGCCTCAGTTTGATCAATATATAAAAGTACGAATTTATCAATACACAGCTTCTCCGCAGTTGCAAAATTATGCATTGTGGAGAACATTTCAAAAATTGGGAAACCTATTTCCAATTATATATTTTTGTGTAGTAAGCACTACTCAGAAACCGATTAAGAAAGTAATTTCATATCAAGAAAATGTTTGTATGTTCAATCTATTTTTAATGCATTTTTTCATTCAAGGGAAATGGAATCCTAATGCAAAAGTTCATTTTGACAAAAGGCTTCAGAAAAGTACCTCGAAAATGGTTTTCTAACAGCGATTTAATGTGTGCAAGACGCGTTGAAAATGTTCTGTTGTGTCCATGAAAAGGCTTTAAAAATAACTAGGAAGAAGGTAGTTTTGTGACATATCAAGGACATCTCGATAATTGCCGCCTGCGGCGGACATTGGCTGTTCTATAATAGTTCTATTCATGTGTGAACAGAACATCGCAGTGGAGGTTCGATGACTCGAAATCTCGTACTTTTAACATCTCTGAGATGTTTATGTGCTCGCTGGGTTCTTCTTCAAAAAAATTCCCAATATGATTTCATAAAAACTCGACTCATTTTATTTAAGAAAAAACACTCGGTACTGTCGATGATGATGTTTGTCTCTGAAAAACAGATCATATCGATGGTTTTTCATGTCAGTCCAAATTTGGTAAGAATCGCACCACTTATAACTGAGTTATAGAGAGGGTGGTATTTAAAGTGAGACACGCTGTAGAAAGATGAGAATTGTTTCAGTGCCTAGTGATACAATTGAGTACTGGACTATTTTTCATGTAGTTATCTCCATTCTTGTATACACAAATTGAAATTTTCATGATATACATACTTGCTAGAGGAAAGTATTATGTTGAACTACAGTTGTCAACACACTAAATGGACCACTCATAATTTGACTCTATTTCGAAGACCTGTATCATTTGAAAAAATTGACCGATCTTCATGCAGTTTTTGATATCAGATGTGATATTTCATCGGCATCGAAGAGAGCTAGAACACTCTGGAAAAGTTTGCAGAACAAAACTTACACAGGGTGTAAAGTGGAACCATTACACTATGGTCTACATTTCCAATGCTGCCAGAACTCGAGAAATTTTTTCCTGATCAAAAGTCAGTCATATTATGATACACTGGGACCTCATCTCGGGACGGTTTCGTGATTTCTCCTTAATTTGCCATTAGAACAAGAATTCGATTTTTTTTCGAAAGTCTTGCATTCCTTGAATTTTTTCTCTATATAACTCCACTTGAGCTGACTATTGGGAAGAACTGTTCTCAATCTCATGTTCTGTGGAGGATAATGAAAGACGAAAAAAGCGCCATTGTGGAATAATATACAGGATGATAAGAAAATTGGACAAAATCTCATTTCAGTAAAAAAAATAAAAAATGGTGACTAACACCATGGCCCATTTGATTCAGTATATTCAGAAACGACCTTCTCGATATCCATTATCTATATTAGACTATTAACTCGAGGCGTTTTCGAAAATAAGCCTCTAATTGAAAAACAGGATAAAAATTTTCAATTCAAACTTGTTTCCTGATATCGATGATCTTTATCAACTGATTACCAATATTTATAGCCCAAGTATGAGACACAGAGTATTGTTGTTCAATATACTGAGTGTTTCACAACTTATCTGACAAATTTCTACCATAACTACGATATTACATAAGAATACTGTCTGTAGGTTAATCGAGGAGGTGGTACATTCATTTTACTTGGTTCTTTGGGATTTTCTCTCCTGAAAAGTGTCAAACTATACGTAGCACAACTTTCAAAGAAAAATAATTTGCATTTACATGTTGAGAACGGGAGCAGAATCGGTCCCGAAACGTCCAAAGATAAGTACAAATTCGATATTTTTTCAATATATCTATATTTCTTTCCTTCAAAAATTTTTTCAAACAAATTGTCACTGACAAGCTACTGGATTTTTCTTTTAGACTCCCTGATAGAAAAATTTGTTAAACGCAGTGACATTTTGGGGCAAATCATCTGATTTGTCCCTCTACAAATATATTGAAATAATACGAATACTTTTATTTTATAGAAACGAGGAGAGAAAATCCCAAAGAACCAAGTAAAATGAATTACATAAGAAGTCTATCACATAAAAAATTTATAGAAGTAAAACGAGATGGAAAATAAAATTTATAACACTTTATATCCACTAAAATTCTTCGAAATGGGCTCTATTTCCGGAATATGGCATTGGTGAATTCTTCAGCATTATGAAGATCCAACTAGAAAGTCCTATATCCTGAAGTTCAGTACTTGGTAGGTCCTTCCCGATTTACAAAACTCCATGAAATCGGTTTGGCATAGATTCTATGAGGTTGTTTTTTTTATGTTCTGGTTCCTACGGAAGGCATATCCTGTAATGTTCAGAGAATGAAGTCTATTGATATTGCCTCCCATTCTTCTGCTACAGCTTGGATGAGGTTGTCATTATTTTGGGGTGCCTTTCGCCTTCTCGAGAGGATGAGTTTCATTCGGCTCCACACATGTTCAATCAAATTCAGATCTGGAGATAATGCTGGGCACCACATTCTTCTAACATTATTGTTTTCTAGAGTTTGTAATTTGTCAGATAAGTTGTGAAACACTCGGTTTATTGAACAGTAATACTCTGTGTCTCATATTTGGGCAATATATATTGGAAATCAGTTGATGAGAATCATCGATATCAAGAAACAAGTTTGAATGGAAAATTGTTATTCTGTTTTTCAATTAGAGGCAGATTTTCGAAAACGTCGCGAGTTATCGTGAAGGCCGTTTCTGAATAGACTGAATCGAATGGGCCATGGTTTTAGTCACCATTTTCGATTTTTTTTACTGAAATGAGATTTTGACCTATCTACTTATCATCTTGTATATTCCACAATAGTGCTTTTTTCGTCTTTCATTGTCCTCCACAAATCATGAGAACAGTTCTTCCCAATAGTCAGCTCAAGTGGAGTTCTAGAGACAAAATTCTAGGAATGCAAGACTTTCGAAAAAAAATCGAAATTTTGTTCCAATGGCCAATTAAGGAGGAATCAAGAAATTGTCCCGAGATGAGGTCCCAGTGTATCATAATAAGACTGACTTTTGATCAGAAAAACATGTATCGAGTTCTGGCAGCAATGGAAATGTAGACCATAGTGTAATGGTTCCACTTGACACCCTGTGTAAGTTTTGTTCTAGGGATTTTTTCAGAGTTTTCAATTTTTTTCGAAATAGAGTCAAATTATTTTGTAAACTTACATGTGTTTCGTTTGCATGTCTCAACGTTTCTTCGATCAGTTTCATAGAGGAATCAGCATTATTGTAGGTAGCCCAGTGCCCACAGGAAGTACTGGCATGAGTGGAATCGGGTTGGTCACTCTGACAACATAGGGGCTCTCCACAAGGGTCCACCTTACCTTCGGTGTAGTTTGGGTCGTAATGAATGTCAGTGAGGTGCAGGACTTTGAATGATTCGGATCCATCAGACTATGGAGAATGAATGATTTTTGAATTTTTTTTCGCCAAATGTACTCTATACAAGGTGTTCCTTGATGACATGCTAATAGTTTAGTTTTGTTTAGTTTATTTAACAACGTTATGTACGAAAAAATACATTTTTCTACAAACGTCAGTAAAAGTATAATTTTTGACTCATGCTGTCAGTATCTGAAATGTCAGTTTATGACACTGGTGTGAAAAGTAAATCACTTTTAGCACTAGTGCTAAAATTGATTTTTCTTTAAGAGAAAATATGTAAACATAATTCAAAATGAAGTGTTTATTCAATTAAAAGTACAATTAGCGAAACTACAATTATAATACGAAACTCCATGGCCAGTCTCATTGGTAGATGTGACAGAATTTATTTTCGTGAAGCTTGTACCAGGGCAGAGAGCAATATTATCTGCCGAAGTTTTCGACAAAATTTGATCTGCAATGTTCTGTTCCCTATGTAGCGAGTCTTCTAAATAACCCTCTGCTACTGTACTGGACTTCCATCCACCATGTCTTTTAATTGTAGTAAGTTAGTTTTTGTGTCTTTTATATGCACAACTAGAGAAGTTCCGGAATCCTCGATATTATTTAATGTCAAATCGCACAGTTCTTCTCGACGACAGGCTCCAAAAACACCAAAAATCGCAGCAACTTTCTGCATTAGATATATTTCATCTGGGGCTTCTGCGAGAAATTTGTCGATTTTTTCTCTTGTCAATACTTTTGACTTTTTCGGTCGATATCCTTCACCCTTTCGCTTCAAAAAAGTCACAAGCTTGTGTGATATCTGCTTATGTCATGATCATTTATGTTCACCATCTTTAACAAAGAGTAATTCGACCAAAGCGTTGACGATTTCCATATTTTGGACTTTTCTTCAAAGTAAGCAAGAATCACTTTTTCACTGGCCTCCTTTCCACTGACATTTTTCTGATCACACCATTTCAAGAAACGTTCGTATGAAAACTCGTACTGTCGCTTTGACTTACTAGGCAATAATTCGAAAACAGCTTTATTTGCAGCTTCTTCAATTTGCAGCGGAAGAAATTCATTTTCTTCGTCAAGAAAGATAAATCAACAAATTCAGTTTTTGTTTACCTTGGTAACTTGTTTCATGAATAGATTAGATCGAATTGGATTCGAAACTGATAATCTCGAGGCTGTTATTTAATCAATTAATAAGTAATTTAAAATAGTATGCGTTAATTTGGACTTTAAATGGTGTTTGTAGAAAAAATAGTGTATGATATATGTGCTAAAAGTGTTTTTTCTTTTGTTCTCACAAAATAAAATGTCACTTCCAGCACTTATATCATAAATAACTATTGTTGCAGGTCATAAACATTACATCTAGTGGGTAATGTAGGGTAGTGAGCATATAGAGCTGTTTACTCATTTATATTTATATTATTCGCTTTGTATATTTTTGTAACTTGAAGTTGTTATGGATACATATTATTATTAAGAAAGACAAGAGATAATTCAATGTCTGAACAGTTCATTAAATAGATTATATATTGTGTAGTATTATAATTGCTACAATTGGTGACCCCGTATTGTGAACTGAAGAAAACTCCTTCGCAAAATGCACAATCCACCCGAAGAAAACATGCCTGTGCCTGAAAATCCAATTCAAGTGCAAAATGTCAATCATCATATTGAAGACGTCAAGCAAGTAAAACTGCCAAATTTTTGGAGATCGAATCCTGCGTTGTGGTTTACACAAGTTGACGCCCAATTTCACATATACAAGGTACGAAATGATGTTACCAAGTACTATACAGTGATATCTGCGCTCGATAGTTCAGTGCTGCAACAGATCTCTGACTATATCACATCTCCACCAGAGACAGGAAAATATGAGAGCCTGAAAACACAACTGATAGCGCGTTTCACTGATTCAGAAGAGAAACAAATTCGTAAGCTTTTAACCGATATTGAGCTTGGCGATCAAAAGCCTTCCCATCTCTTACGTGAAATGAAATCCCTGGCTGCAGGAAAAATCAATGACGATGTTTTGAAGACATTATGGCTGCAACGAATGCCTTCTCAGGTACAGATAGTTCTTTCAGCTAGTGAAGGGGTAGAACTTTCCAAAATGGCAGCTATTGCTGATAAAATAATGGAAGTCAGTAGTTTGTCTCATGAACCTAATATTACTTCCATAAGTAAATCTACTCCAAAGAACGATTTTCCAGTTCAAAGTGCCAGCTCACCTGTTCACGTTTCTTCAACTTTGGCCCAAGATCAAGTTATCGATAATCTTCGTTTGCAGATAGCATCTTTAACTACATGTGTGGAATCGTTAACAAAGTTGCATCAGAAAAATCATAGATTTAGATCTAGATCAAAATCAAGATCTAGATTTGAACAACACCAAGGAAAGAGTTATTGTTTCTATCATCGTCGTTTTGGTAAAAATGCCAGAAACTGTGTGGAACCATGTTCTTTCGAATCCGATTCCAACCAGCTTCCGGAAAACAGCAGCAGTCGTCGTCAGTAGAGGCGGTCAACGACGACAAGGCACCCACACAGTACCGCCTATTCATTTCGGATAAAAATACCGGCACCCGTTTTCTTGTTGACACAGGCGCAGACGTATCAGTTTTTCCATTGTCCAAGAACAGTAGAAAATCATCACCCAAAGAGTACAAGTTGTATGCTGCTAATGGATCTACAATTGATACTTATGGAGAACAATTGATTTCACTCGATCTTGGATTGCGTCGCTGTTACAAATGGCCTTTCATCATTGCAAAAGTCGCTCGTCCGATAATTGGCGCTGATTTTCTGAGTTATTATAGCATATTGGTTGATTTGAAACATAAAAGATTGATAGATAACACTACGAAATTATCGATTACCACTGGTAAAGCTGTGAGTGATTTTCCAAGTATCACAACAGTTACTATCGAATCTAATTTCCATCAACTACTTACACAGTTTCCAGATATAACTAAAGTTTCACCGTTACCATCTGGAAGGAAAAACACAGTGTTTCATCAAATAATCACCACTGGACTACCAGTCTTCGAAAAAGCTCGTCGATTGTCACCCGAGAAACTCGATATTGCGAAGCAAGAGTTCCAGTTTATGTTGGACCAAGGCATCTGTCGACCATCTAGTAGTTCATGGGCTAGCCCACTCCATATGGTTCCCAAGAAAGAAGCAGGCAGTTGGCGACCTTGTGGTGATTACCGTCGTTTGAACTCCATCACTCAACCAGATAGATACCCAATAGCACACATTCAAGATTTTTCATATAAACTGAGCGGCAAAACTATTTTTTCGGTCATTGATCTTCTGAAAGCTTATCACCAAATTCCCGTTGCTGAAGAGGATATTCCCAAGACAGCAGTAATCACACCTTTTGGACTTTTTGAGTTTCCATTCATGACATTTGGACTCAGGAACGCAGCTCAGACATTCCAGAGATTCCTGAATTCAGCTCTCCAAGGTTTAGATTTCTGTTACTGTTACATCGATGACATTCTTGTGGCATCTACTGACTCAGAAGAACACAAGAAACACCTGCTCATCATCTTTGAAAGACTACGTGAATTCGGATTAACAGTAAATCCTGCAAAATGTATTTTTGGCGTGGAACAAATTGAGTATCTGGGATATCTCATCACAGCCCACGGCACCAGACCATTGCCTCAGAAAGTTGAAGTCATCAGGAATTACAAGAAACCTGAGACCATCAAAGATATGAGACGATTTCTGGGCGTGATTAATTTCTACCGAAGGTTTATTCCGAACGCTGCTCAAGATCAAGCAATTCTCAATGACTATCTAAAGAATGGAACAAAAAACGACAAACATCCGATTATCTGGACAGAAGATGCAGAGAAAGCATTTAGTAAATGTAAAGAGAAATTAGTGAATGCTACACTCCTTAGACACCCAGTAGAAAATGTTCCTCTAGCATTAACTGTTGATGCATCTGATTTTGCGATTGGTGGTGTACTTGAACAATTCCACGAGAACAATTGGACTCCACTTGGTTTTTTCTCCATGAAATTGAATAAGGCACAGCAAAATTACAGTGCCTACGACAGAGAACTTTTGGCTATGTATGAGGGTGTCAAATATTTCAAATATATGATTGAAGGTAGAGACTTCATGATTAGGACAGATCATAAACCTCTCACTTTCGCATTTCAACAAAATTCCCATAAAGCAACACCAAGACAACTTCGTCATCTCGATTTTATAGGCCAATTCACTACCCAAATCATACACATCTCTGGTGAACAGAACGTCGTAGCAGATGCACTCTCCCGTGTCGATGAGATTGAAGTCCTCCAAGTTATTAGTAACGAACAACTAGCCAAGGAACAAGAGCAAGACATTGAACTGAGTAAACTCATTGATTCAAAAACTTCTCTAATACTGAAGAGAATTGATGTCAATGGTTCAGATCTCTGGTGTGACGTCTCCGCAAATAGAATTCGACCATACATTCCAAAAGTTAGTCGATACTTGGTATTCAGAACATTCCACGATTTATCTCACCCAAGTGCAAGAGCAACAGCCCATACTATGAAGCAGAAAGTGGTTTGGCCAAGAATGAGCAAGAATATCGCGGAATGGTCGAGAACTTGTACTTCCTGTCAACGTTCGAAAGTTCATAGGCACATACGAAGCCCACCTGAGCATTTTCCTGTACCACAGCATCGATTCGAACATATCCATATAGACTTGATAGGTCCTCTACCTCCTGCTAAAAGTATGAGGTACTGTCTTACTATGGTCGATAGATTTTCTCGATGGCCTGAAGTTATCCCTATAGCTGATATCACAGCTGAAACAGTTGCTGAAGCGTTTTACCGTTCATGGGTTTCTAGATATGGATGTCCACTCACCATAACTACTGATCAGGGTAAACAATTCGAAGCTTCTCTGATGAAATCTTTATTGAAATTCCTAGGGATCAACCGCACACGTTCTTCACCATATAGGCCACAATCCAATGGTATTTTAGAGAG